TTTTTTGTTATTTTTCTATATATATATATATATATATATATATATATATATTAATATGTCTATATAGTTTTGGTTAATTTATATTTAAGTTGTGTTATTTTCGTACATAAAGTTAAACTAAATTAAAATGAGGAATGATGCACAAACAACATGAAATTACAGGGGACTGTACACAATTGGATCACAGTTTTTCTTTCTGTTCAGATTTTGTATTTATTTATTTATTTATTTACTTACTTATTTACTCATTTATTTATTTAACTACTGGTCCGACCAAAACTGTTGAGACAGTGACATAATGTTTTGATTGAAGCTAACATGAAGAACTCAATTCAGTTACTGGCAGTTTTAAAACAAAAACAGCATTCATCTATCACAGGTCTGGTTTCCTTCTCTACTGAAGAGCTTCATGTGACAACAAGAAAAGCAGAAGAAGTGAGTCATGATCATCTTTATTTAAGATTTCTTCTTAAGTAAAAATCAAGGTTCACTTTCTTGCTCAATTCTTCCTTCTTCCAATTTATAGAATGCGTACGAGAAAGGAAACCCAGCTGTGATCTCAAACCTACACACAGCTCAAAGTGATGACGGTTCTGCTGCAAACACAGAAGCAGTCGACACAGACCTCGACTACATGAATGTTGCTGCTGCAGTGAGAAACGGTGTGGATCCAGATCAGATCTACACAGAACTGAACTCAAGTAGACATAGTGACGTTTATCAGAGTCTCAGAACTGATTCTGTTCAAGAAGAGTCTGTCTATCACAGTATTGATCAAACAATAGACTGAGCCCAGAAGCCCCACAAACAATCAAACAATGGTAACAGTAGTCTTAAATAATCTTGTAGGTCTTGTAAAATAGTGTAAAAATGATAAATTTATCGCTGTCTTAAACTCAAGCTAAATGTGCTGTAAAGATAGATTTTTACCCGTATTGTTCTGAATATCACCCTCATGTCATTCCAAACCCGTAAGACCTCCGTTCATCTTCGGAACACAAATTAAGACATTTTGATGCATCCCGAGAGCTCTCTGTCCTTCCCATAGACAGCAATGTAATTAACACTATCAACGTCCAGAAACGTAGTAAGGACATCGAAAAATAATCCGTGACGTCAGGGTTCAACCGTAATTTTGCGAAGCTATGAGAATACTTTTTGTGTGCAAAGAAAACAAAAATAACGACTTTATTCAACAATTCGTCTCCTCCTTGTCACCCTA